ATGCTTATGTACCTAAATAATTGCCTACATAACTACATAAAGACGAATACTGCACAAGCACTAACAATTCTGGCCTACTGAGTCTCAGACAACTTTTTATCCATTCTCACAAACTTTTCAAGGTATTAGATTGAAAAAAAAGAATAGACTTGGACTCCTTAAAGATTTGCGCAATGTTTTATGTGCCCAATTTTACAAATAGCACAATGTGGCTGTATTCATGTGGTCTTTAAAAGATTTCCCATGTAATGGCTTTTCTTAACTTTAGCTTCCTGTGGTTACTATCTGTTGTGCACATTTTTGCGTTTTGAAGTATGATATAATCTCTTCTGATGGCGTAGTCAATACCTGTAGCATGTCATGTGCAGAGGCTGATTGGGAATCCTCCCATTTGTTACTCTGTACTGGTGAGAGTTCTGATCCAGCTCGTAGAGAGGCACTCCTTAAATTCATCAAACATGCTAATGGTAAGATTCCTATAGGGGTGAATAATTTTAAACATTCTAAATTTATCTGCCTTTTTTTTTTATTCGGTGCTTATTTATATCTTTCCTTTTTCTCCCAGAAACAAATGATATATTCATACTTGCTGCAAAGGTGAGGTTTAATTTTTCTCTGAATTTCTTATGTATTGAATGCTGCTTGAAAAAATGCACACGCACATGTATGCTGTTTATGCACAACATATCTATCAAATCAAATAGAAAACATTCTTGCGAAAATTTTACTTTCAAGTGTTCTTCCTCAAAATCTTGTGCTCCTTTTATCTATCACATATATCTTTCTGTTCTGTCTAAGCCGGTCTTTAATTTGAAATTAGGCGTACTTGTGTGAAGTTTTAGATGCCCAACTTATGAAATAAGCTATTTTCACCATTCTTGCATACATTTTCTCTATTTATCTGATGTCTTGTTGGATTTTTTGACTAGGCTATTTCTTCAACCATATTAAGATATAGCAAGGTAAAAGCAGCCAGTCTTGAAAAACAAGTGAAACATGATACATCCTGTGTTTCAAATCACCGTAGTTTATCTTTTCTTTTGGAAGCTTGGAGGCCTATATCAATGGGACACAAGAGAAGGTTGTTACTTACTAATTTTACATGTCTACATGAGACCTTAATACAGAAGCTATACTTACTAATTTTACATGTCTACATGAGACCTTAATACAGAAGCTAATACTTTCCTAATGCATCATTAAAATCTTTGAGGAAAATTATTTGACATATATGCATGATCAGGGCATACATTGCACCATGTTTTCAAGTAATAAAGGTTTTTAAAATATTATTAATATATATATTTTACATCACATATTCATGTGTTGTAGGGTTGTCTAAATTGTGTACTCTTTATTGAGTTGAGCTGGAGAAAATCCAAGATATTTTCTTTTCTGATCTATAGTTTAATTACCCATTTTATCAATCTGTTGAGAGTGAATTAGGTCTTTTATAAAATTTTGATTTGCTATCACTGTTTCATGCAAGTATAGTTCTCATTCCAACAAACTACCTTGTAAAACTGATCTAATAATATATCAACCTGATTGTTCAAAAGAAGAGTTTAATTTATTTTAACTATCATTCACATATGATACTTCCGGGAAGAGAATGCCACGATCTTCTTGTTCCATTTGATGGTGAACATTGTAGTATGATTTATTTGAACTATGGATGACAAGTCACTTCGAAATATTTGTAGGTGGTGGGACTGTATTGCTTTGCCAGATGATGTGGATTCTTCTGACGAAGCATCATTCAGGCTGCAAATCAAAGAGTTGGCATTTGAGGTGAGATTCTTCAAAGTGCATGGTAGGACATGATATATTCACTGATTTTATGCTTATTGTGTAACTAATTTTATGCATCTTAATTTGATGTTTCAGTCTCTACAACTTCTTAAGGTAGCCATTTTTGACAAGGAATGTGAGCCATGTATCCTTACACATACTGATTATGTGATCTATTCTTTATGTGCATGCCTGGTGACACAGTTTCACTTTTTTCTTCCTGAAACTTTAGCTTTAAATGGCTTAATCCTTGACGCTTTCCAGTATTCTCCCTTGAAATCTATGGACATATCATTGGCATGTTTGAGCTGAATAATCTGTAAGAGCATACTCTATGGAGCTTTGTTTTAGTTCTATTCTTCCTAGCCATATTTTATGTCTTGTTTGCTTCCATTAAAACAATGCTTGAATATTGCATTATAGGTGTAGCCATTGAAGTAAACTGAGCATCTGAAATTATAACATAAATTTTGGATCATACTAATATAATCATAAGTTTATATTGCCAGTGATTTGGTTGTGGCTTCTCCGGTGGAGGATTACTTTTTATACATTGATGATCTGACACATCCTAACAAGGTTTGGCTTTATTTCTCATTGCTTTAATACATCATCTAAAAAAGAATTAGTTCTTTTTACTATTTTTGCTAACATTAATGGCAGGAAGAGGCTGAGAAAATTACGCAACCTATTCTGGATGCACTTGGTGAAGACTATTCTATTTGTTGCGAAGGTACTAATTTTATTACAACACCTCCAATAAACAGGATCTATGAGAGAAGGAATAGGTTTGAAGCAAGGAACCAATAGGGATTATTCAATACAACAGAACATTAACTGTTAGTTAGGTAACTAACCAAAGAAGGGGATGTAATAAAAAGGAAGGGAATCCAAGAGAGGAGAGTAGCTTGTCTTTTCAGGGTCTCTCAAATACCCTGAGAATGTACCTATTTAATATAATATAGTGCAATTTCAATTCTGTGTATCTTTTTCCTTCTATCTTTGTGGTGTATATCCTCATTCATTTTGATCTTTAATTTTAAATGTTGAGTGATAAATCTATGTGGTTGTTAAATTTTATTTTAGGGACTGCATTTTTTCCTTTGCAAAGCTGCATGAACCATTCCTGTTGTCCTAATGCCAAAGCTTTCAAAAGAGATGAGGTACGTGGGGGCAAAACGAGCTTTATCTTATTTACTACTTGATTTGGTTTGAGTTGATTGCATTGCATTTTTTACTTCATTTTGATGTCAGAGATTATGATTAGAGTAATTTTTTTGGCGTTACATCTATTATCATAAATCTGTTTTAATTTTAACATGAAAAAGAAAATGAGAATTCCCTTTATACATGTACATGCCATGTGTGTTTACAGAATCCCCTGGCTCTTTAATGGGTTGAAGTTCTCCTTTCATGCTTGCTTGGTTAGTTAAGCATGTTGCTTTTTCATACTATTGTAAATTACTTGCACAATATTGTTTTGTTTTGATAGCTCACATAACCCAAGAATATGGCTAAATTACTCATCAACTAGGACAATTCTCATTCCTGGAGTTGACTTTTACCAGATAGTTAGTTAGTCATGGTCCATTTCTGATAGTAATCTTATTATAACAATTGCTTAAACAACGGAGGTTCAAACTTCAGAGCATGCTATCAACTACTTATTTGTTGTTTGTGCCAATATTAAATTTATGTTTATTTCTCTATTGGATTCAACGTGTTTTGTTGTACTTCTCATTTATGTAGCCTGTCAGTGATTTTCTTACAATGAAATCTGCTGTAATTTTGTTTGTGACATTAAACATAATAAAGACTTATCTTTAAAACCTTACACATTGTGCATGCAGGATAAAGATGGCCAAGCAACAATAATTGCACATAGGTTCATTCGTAAAGGGGAAGAGGTATTAATACCAATATCTAGCAGGCCAGTAACTTTTAACAAAAGATTTAAGGATGAATTTGGTGTTTTATACTACCCAAATGACAAGGATGTTTATGACACCAAGCTATAGAAAAAGAGACATCATATATGGAATTACCACATTAAATTTGATAACTTCTTGTATATATTGCCATGTTCAACTAATTAACTCATGGAAGGACTTGCAGATAACCATATCATATGTTGATGAGGACCTTCCATTTGAAGAAAGGCAGGCATCCCTTGCAGATTATGGTTTCAGATGCAGGTGTCCAAAGTGCATTGAAGAAGAGCCATAATTTTGTAACTATACATATGCAGAAGATTAAGTTGATATACTTAGAAAAGAGGAGGAATGAGGAATTGAAAGGGAACAATTGTTAGGGGCTTTTGTTGCTGTCTTGAAATTTGAGTCCTTTCAAACAATAGGTCCACAGTTGTCTGCATGCCACATTTGTTACACCAGTTCTTTCATGTTACATCTATACAAACAATTGGAATGTGTTGTTGGCAGAAAGATTAAATAGTGTCTCTATCAAAAGATTAAACAATTATTTGATCACTGACTGCTGCATTTACTTTCTGGCAGGGTCGAAGGGAATAAAACCGTAGTTTATAATTTCAAAATTTAGAAAAAATTGTATGAATAATTTTGAATATACTTATGTTAAAACTTGTGGCTACTATTTGTTATGTTCTCAAAATAAAAAATATCTATACTTTACCCAATAGAACTTTCCATTAGTGGAATAGTTACTTCAATGTGAAAAATGAAAAACTACATTCGCGATGTATTCAACATATGTTATTTACACGCTCATTATATTGAATACTATTTTAATTAATCGTGACTTAAAATAATTCAGAATACCACGTTCTTTGTTATTAAGTGGGAATTTTTGAAAATATAAAAAGATTTTAAAATATCTTCACATTTTAAAATAGAAACTTCAATTTATAATATGAGAATATATTATCTAAATATAAAAGTAATGTTCACATCTCCATTTTCCTTTTATCTTAACTTTTGTGATTTTTGCTTGACAAAGTTTGTTTTTCTTTTTGCTTAAAAAACATGTTAGTTCATTCACCAAATGATAAATGTTATTAATCAATAATTTATTAATCCATGACCAAGAAAAATTCAGAACCTGAATAAATAATTTTCATAAAAAACTTCAGAAGTATATTGGATCGGGTTGGTTTTGCTTGGAAACTCTTTCACATTCCTTATGTGCATAGTTTGGATAATTTGAAATGAATAAATAAATAAACAATCATCTTCAATTAAACAAAAACTGCATTTAATTAACAATAACAGTGAAAAATTACATCAATAAAAAAAGAACTACACAAAAATACATTAACTCTGCTGTGTGCAGCACAATAAATCTCCTCTAAATCCTGCTGCTTATTAGAAGAGATCTAGCAGCAAAGTTTGAAACAAGAATGACTATGAACCCACTTATTCAAAAACACATAAAAGTACAACAACCATGTCATAAGGGTCCTTTATCGGTAGACAACACATGACATAGCATAAATAACCAAACCCAAAAACAAACTATCAAGATTTACCAGGATTGTTGACCCATGAACAAGACAAGATTCTTAGCTATTTACAAATGCACAATGCTTCCTGATCTCTCCTTCTGTCCCTGTCTTGACCTTAATTCTTCCCATTTTCTCAATGGAACTGGCAAACTCAGCAAAGAAATTTTCAAGTGATCCTTGAAGCAATTCAATGATTTGAGACTTAGTAACTGCATTATTCAACAATGCAGCATCTGACTCGAACAGGCCCCTTCTCTTAATCACTTGTCTGTAGTAGTCAAGGTCAAATGTCTTGCGGCTTCCAGGGTCCATCTCAATCTTTGTGGTGTTCAACCTATTCAGGTCATTACACTTGAAGGTTTTCAGATTTTCAGCATATTCACTGTCCAGTGAAGGGTCTTGATCACCCTTCCCAGTAAAGTTGAACAAGCGGTTTGATAATGATGAGCAATGAGCCACACCAATTGTGTGAGCACCTGAAACAAGTTGAACTCTAGGCCATTAATTACTGAAGATTAGAAACATAGTTAGCAAATTCCTAAAAACTTAACGATCCATTCAGATATTCTGCCATATTTCAGTAAAATAATGCTTAGGAAATTGTTAAATAAAAAAGTACCAGAGAGCAGGACCAAGTCCTTCAAATCAAGTCCTTGGTTGGCAAACAATGTTTGCAGGGTGGTGATGTTGTCAAATGGAGCAGGAATGTTATCTCTGGCTTCCTCCAAGATAGAGACTACCCCATCTCTTCGACCTGTCGGAACTTTCCAAAAGGGTCCACCCTGAAAGCCATAATGAGTCATTTTTTGTTATCAAAATGAAAGTGTCAAGATAAAGACGAAGCAGAAGTCTTTTGTGCTTATACTTCAGCTTTCTTGATAAAGATTAAGCTCTTACTGTGGCTACAATGGTGTCTCTGGCTGCCAAAGTTAGGATATCAGCACAAGAGACGACGCCAGGGCATTCAGCCTCAACAAGGCTCTTTATTCTGTCAATGAAGTCAAAGCCTCTGACTGTGAGATTTGGAGGAGCATTCTTTTCAGCCTGATTGGTTGTTGAGTTCAGTAGCACTGATCCATCACATCCCTGAAATGCTTCATGTTAGGTACCTCCTTCACCCAACACAGTACATTGTAAAGTGAATATTAAAGGAGCTTAGAGCATAATCGAACCACATACCCTGACGAAACAATCATGAAAGTGCATTCTGATTAATGCAGCTGCTAGGGAAGGAGCATTGTGGATATGCTCATGAACAAACTTCAAGATGATTTTCTCAGCTTTTGGGCAGCTCTTGGCATAAAAACCAAACTGAAGTTGAGCTTGAGTTGATGCAACCAATGCCAAGAGGCAAAGGCTTAAAAACCTGAAGTGACTTCCCATTTTCATGAAGCTAGCAGAAATCCAAGAAGCTTGGTGACTAAATATAATATGAACAATATATATATATATAACACTCAGATACTTCTTGAAAGAGGAAATTGCTTTCTCTCTGCTGCTGTTTCCACAACAGTGGCCGGTGATTTATAGTCCTTACGTTTAGGCTGTAAGAAATATGACAAATCATAGAGATGGTCCATGCAGCTAACTAACATGTGCCACAAGGTGATGCTACATGCACTTTACCATCCATTTGAACGTAATAATTGAATCATGTATAATAAAATAATGATTAGTTGGATGCACCCTTATAGGACAAACATAGCAAGTTCTCATAGTTGAATTTCTAAATACTTTAGCACACGTCTAACGATCTTAGTTAGTAATTTAAAAGATTGTGAATGTTGATACGTTATTCAAAGATCCCATACCAATTCTTCATCTTTGAACTATAAATATATTGCTTTAATCTTCTTGTATATACACTGTACTGATATCATATTAAACGCGAGATTAATTTGTACAAAATGTTTTTACATAACAGAAAATTACATTGTTAGTAATAAAATTGTCAAATCTTGAAGGGTATTTCGAGAAAAGAATTTCCTAAGAAGACAAAGAACACCAATAAGACCTGTTTTCAATCCACATAAAAAATCGATAACACCTCTAACTCAGAACATTAAAACAATAAGTTTGAGTATTCATTCTAGTATATTCTAATATAGTAGTCAACTTTCTTATGTCTTTATGTCTACTCAGTTTAAGACTTAGATTCACTATTTTTAATTATCTGTAATACATTGTACAGTATATATTATCAAGTATTTGCCGAATATCTCGTAACTCCAATTTTAGTCTTGGCTTAGAGAGGAAATTTAGAATAAACAATAAACTTACCTGCTACTGTGTACTATTGGTTCATTACTTTAGTTGTTCTGAGCCAGCCATCGTTCAATTAAATTAACGATGGCTACCTGCTGCCACCTATGAGCCATGACGTGCATGTTTATATAGTAATTAGTAGGAAAAAAAGTTGATTTGATCTAAATCTCATTATGATCATAAACATACTTTAAATTCGTCATGATACAAAGATAGAGACAGAAATTTTTGGTGTATAGAAAGGTCAGAGTGGTTCGCACATGCTACTTTTGGGTAGAGTAACAATAAACCAGAGTGAAATGAACTGGTTTTCAGTTCTTCTTCTTGTGCAGTAAAGTAGAAACATTCGTTTAATTCACATTTCCCAGTTAATAATATTACGAACTTGAGATTGCTGTTACCTCACGGCAAGTGTAGGTGAAGTTAAATATCAGCATTATCATTGTGGTGACCCCAAATCAAAATTTCTATAACTACAGTTAAATGGAGGAAATGGAACACAATCATGATGGCTAACAAAAGTTGCATGGATTGATGTGCTAATATTGACTTGGTCAAATTTCAAATGGAGAGATGATTGCATTTAAGTTGCAGTGAATTTGATGGAAATAACTGCACTTAATATTAGTGTAGTGGGTCCGTTTCATGTCATACTGTGTCCCACTTTCAATAAAGCAAGTTTGTTAGTTAATTTAAAAGCATATTCCAACTCATGTGCACATCGAATCCAGGATGCTTTGTTGAAAAGTAAAACCTAGAAAACCCCTAATCATGCAAGCTTTTTTATCAACCACGTTTGCGGTATTTCTTGTATAAATTAATGACAGGTCTTTTTGTGGATAAAAAATAATGAACATTGAAGAAAAACAAAGATTATTTCGTTAAGCCACGGTTTTCAACGAGTTGTTGGTCGATAATAGCTTGTGATCTGATTAAAACTAGTATAATATTCAAGGATTTTAGTTTGAGGTCCATTAATAGCTTTTAATTTGTTAAAACTAGTATAATATGCTAGGTTTTTAATTTAAGATCTTTTATTTTATGAAGTTAGTTAAGTATTATTAGGACTGCAAATATAAGTTTGAATTTCATATTAAACAAAAATGAAAAAAATATAAAAAAAAGCATGAATTTATTATCTCAAAATTTTAAGTTGAAATTGATTTTATAGTTTGTTATGTTAATTTATTCATTGTAAATTGATATCAAATGTCGCTTATACATTTTTCCTCAAAGAATCAAGAAAAAAATAGGTAATCAAATGAAATGAAACCATCTTCCTCACTCAAAAAACTAAAGTTATAAAATATTTTTATTCATAAATGTAACATCCCAAAAATACAGTATAAAATCATATAATAGGAACATCACATTCATAATACTTCAGATCAGTTCTTACAAAAGATAGGACGTACGGTTATGGCCGAACGGCCTTACAAAAATAGACGGGAGTTAACATTGTACAATGGCTACAACTAGAACGAACGGTTTACAAAATACTTATACCGAACGTTCCTACAAAAGAAGAGGCCAACAATTGACCGAACGTCCTAAGGTTCAGTCTTCACTTCCACCTCTTCTAGTGCTTCTTCCAGCAATTCTTCTCCTTCTGCTCCCACGCACAGGGTGATCATCGCAATGACAAAGACGAACGAACGAGAATACATGACAAGACAGGAAATAGGGTAAGCTTATGTAATTTAATTCAAGTATCAACATATATTTTACATAAGTCTAATAAAAACCATCATGTACAAAAATCATACATTTTCAACCATAATCATACAACAATGCATGCAAAGACTGTTCTTTTTACTCTGACTGTCCGGTCTGTATGAATTATGTAGTTACGATGTTCTTGCACTCGTGGAAAGGTAATCTGGAAAACCATCAGAATTACCATAGCTGGAAACCCAAGCCGCCACACGAGGTTAGCCCTTCATCCCTCATTGTAGCTAGAAACCCAAGTCTACACATGAGTTTAGTCCGATAGCTGGAACCCCAAGCTATACGCAACCAGGCCTCCTGCTATTCTCACCACATGCGCCACCATTTTCTACTTGAGACTCGGTGACCATTAGAATGTTAGGATGAACGACAACTTAGTCTGACCATATTCATACTTTACCATTCAATAACCAATCTTGAGACATTCCTCCCCGGAATACTCTTTCATATTCATACTCATTTCATCTACATCATATTTCATCATCTTTCATTTTCAAAACCTCAAACCGAACCAATTTGAATACAGATCCCATACGATACCGAATACCGAACGTTAATCTTCAACCCTGAACGAGACCAAACACTTGGAGTGAGACTGAGAGGTCTCCAGTTTCGAAACAGATCAAGATCAAGAGAGTTACTATCAAGGTTGTGAAAGAGACCGATTACAATAATACCTCTCAAAGAATAATAGAATCGAACGTTATTTACAAGGTGAGCCAATTTAATGAACTGACTCATGAGAGTTTAGACCGAACGCAAATAAGCCTAGGCCGAGTACTAAGATTCTAGGCCGAACACCATTAGAAACTGACACTGTAGGACATCAAATAATAATAAGTGACGGGGTTATATGAAGAAACCGAACGCTATAAATACTTAGCTTATTTATGAGTTTAACATCAAGGAGAACGAGTACTAGTCGGAGACCGAGCACTGTAGAGATCGAACGCTATTGGGTTTTAGCCGAATGCTCTTATGTTAAAAATTAGATTACAAAATCAAGGTCTAGAAATTGGTTTAAGACCGAGCACCACTTAGTACGAGCACTTGGTGTAAGACCGAACACTACTTAGTATGAGCGCTTGGTGTAAGACCGAGCACTACTTAGTACGAGCGCTTTGTGTAAGACTGAGCACTACTTAGTACGAGCGTTTGGTGTAAGACCGAGCACTACTTCGTACGAGCGCTTGGTGTAAGACCGAGCACTACTAAACTTTTAGAGTAAAGGTTTGATAAATATAATAAGATACAATTTAACTATTACAAAACGAAGACGCTTGTTCTCAACTGACATTCTCTCCAAATGAAAGAATCTCGTTCCAACCAAGTCCACAAGAAAACCGAACACTATATCAAACGAGCGCTGGTCTAATACCAAACACTTATTAAGAACGAACGCTACTGAAAACGAACGCTTGGTCCAAGACCGAATACTCAAGTATAACTGAATGGTCAATACTGACTCTCGACAACATCCCTACCCATTTCATGGCTTTCATTAATCATCAATACTTTTAAACAACATACAATATTTCATCATCAAACACAATATCATTCCAGTTTCTCATCTCTTATATTCATATACTCATACAGTCAACAATGCAGTAACAACCATATTTCATATTCATTCAACAATCAACGAACATGCATCCATTCAAAGCAAGAATCTAAATCAAATTATATAAACTTCCCTTACCTCTAACGTAGTCGAACGCTCACAGATACAGAATAGGGTTCTCCTCTACCAGAGGCCTTAACGTTCTACAGTCACGCTTTAAGAAACTAAATCAAACACAAGACCAGAAATACTCAGAATGAGAGGATCAACTCATGCAACCAAAAATATGGGTTTACATGCGACAGAAAACACACAGCTGAGGGAGAGATGAACTTACCAGCTCGGAATAAAAAATTGATCGGTTCAAACGAACACCCTCGACGCCGGGAATGCTCAGGTGTGGTCTGTTCGATGATCGGAAGAACAAAAAGTAAGATTTCTTAGAGAGAAGATGAAGAAATCTAGAGAGAAGGAGGAGAAAATGAAAGTTCAGAACTTTGGGGAAGAAGGGTGCATGCAGAAGTGGCGTGAATTTCTGAAAACTTTGAGTTTTACTTCTATCGTCAAAACCGAACGTCCAATCTTCTGCAGCCACATTTTTTCTACTCACTACTGGAAAAGTAGGAATTACAGGCGGACTTTTACCGAAGGCCTTGAAGCCCTCGGTATTGAGACGATTACCGAAGGTTATGAAGCCTTCGGTAAGGACCTGACCAACTTAAGTCCCAAATTGGGTTCTTTGATCCCTAAGTTCACTTTCTTCAGCCTCGTCATTTTTGTCCATCTCCTCCCTTTCTTCACATAGTTCCCTCTGTTGCAATACGCTCCGTGAGTTTGTCCATTAGTCACCGGTGGTGGTCCGTGACGGTGGTCAGTGGTGCGTTGATCGGTCTTAGTTCATGGTGCGTGGTGTTTTCGGGGAGTTGGGGGCTAGGGTTCGTCTTGCGCTGGTTGGTTCGTTGA